TTTTGGGGACTTTTAAAGCTGTTTTTTGGAGCTTTTAAAGCTGTTTTTGGGGCTTTTAAAGCTGTTTGGGGACTTTTAAAGCTGTTTTTTGGGGCTTTTAAAGCTGTTTTTTGGGGACTTTTAAAGCTGTTTTTGTGACTTTTAAAGCTGTTTTTTGGTGACTTTTAAAGCTGTTTTTGGGACTTTTAAAGCAGTTTTTTGGGGCTTTTAAAGCTGTTTTTGTGACTTTTAAAGCTGTTTTTTTGAGCTTTTAAAGCTGTTTTTTGGGACTGTTAAAGCTGTTTTTTGGGGACTTTAAAAGCTGTTTTTGGGGGCTTTTAAAGCAGTTTTTTGGGACTTTTAAAGCTGTTTTTTGGGTATTTTAAACCTATTTTTGGGGGCTTTTAAAGCTGTTTTGGGGCTTTTAAAGCTGATTTTGGCTTTTTTATTTACGCCTCTCAGCAGTTGCTTTTTGTTTGTAAATTATGTTTCATAGCCATGTTTTGCCTAGCTGCCGTTAGCTTCCTCTATCTGCCATGCTAGCTGCCCTGCTAGCTGCCATGCTAACTGCCTCTGGTTGCCTCTAGCTGCTATGCTAGCTGCCATGCTAGCTGACATGCTAGCTGCATCTAGCTGCCTATAGCTGCCATGCTAGCTCCCTCTGGCTGTTTCTAGCTGCCTCTGACTGCCTCTGGCTAACTCAAGCTGCCATGCTAGCTGCCGTTAGATTCCTATAGCCTCCATGCTAGCTGCCGTTAGCCTGGTCTGAGTCTCTCTGTGCCCTGCAGGTTTCTGGTTCGGCGTGGAGCTGGATCAGCCCAGCGGGAAGCACGACGGCTCCGTGTTCGGCGTGCGCTACTTCAGCTGCCTGCCCAAATACGGCGTGTTCGCCCCGCCCTCCCGCGTCCAGAGGTGCCCCCCCCCCCCCCCGTTTTTCTGTCCCTTTACAGTGGACGTCTGCTGGAAACAGGAAACTAACGCCTCTCTCTTTTTGTGCTCCTCCAGAATCGGAGGGCCTAAAGATGGCGGGCAGGCCGACGGCGCCATGGTGAAGAAGGTCCACCAGGTCACCAGTGAGTGATGATAGATAATTAACTAACTAACTTTACTGGTTTAAGATTTAAAGTGTGTCAAAGTTATCGGTGTTAAACTATAAACACTTTTTCACCAACTCATCCAGACCTTCTGGTGATAATAATAATAATAATAATAATACGATGAACAACAAAAATAAACTAATTCAGTCCTTCTCAAATAGTGGGGCTGTATGAATATAAATCAAATAAATGTTATTATTGTGAATAATAATAATGATATTATGATGATGATATCAATATCAATAAGAAGAAGAAGAAGAACAAGAAGAAGAAGAAAAAAAAATAATAAATTCAGTCCCTCTCAGTGGGATTTAAAAATAAATAAAATAGTCATGATTATAAGAAGAAGAAGAAGATGGATGATGATAATGATGAAGATATTAGTATTAAGAACAGGAAGAAGAAGAAGAAAGAAAAAGACAAAAAATACTAATAAAGTTAGGAGTTAAACTATAAACACCTTTTCACAAACTAATTTAGTCTTTTTTAAATAGTGGAATTTAAAATAAAAAAATAAAAAGTAAATATTGATAATAAACTAATTCAGTCCTTCTCAAATAGTGGGGCTGAAAAATCTAAATAAATAAGTAACACATTCAAACTGGTAAGCAACAAAACTCAAGAGCACAATAGATGAAATATAATATTGAACTTATTGTCAGCAACAGACATTTAGTCAAATTAAATTAAGAAAAAAAGTTTTTGGTATATTTTACAGAAGAAGACTGAAAAATGAAAAACAAAAAACTCTTTTTGGACCTCAGATTCTCAAACAAAGACTCTTTTTGGGACTCAAATTTTTCACATATTTAACATTTTAACATAAAAGCAAACAAAACACCCCTGAGGCTAATGATTTTTATGTTTATTTCCAAGCAACTGTGTGTTAAACAAAAGTGTTAAACAAAAAAATGAAGCTGTTTGTGAGACTAAAGGGGTCGGAGCTCTGCTTTAATGGGTTTTCTGTGTTTGTTTGCTTCAGTGGCGCAGCCAAAGAGGAACTTCAACACCATGAGATCCCCTAAAGACCTCACCTCTGAGAGCTCCATATCCAGGTGAGTTAGCCGCTGTTGCTAAGCTAGTAGAGCTCCATATCCAGGTGAGTTAGCAGCT